CCTAAGAGCGATGGCCTCCAACCTACTAGCAGTTAGTGAAGATTTCCGCATGTGAAAGCTAACCTAATAGCGATGGCCTCCAACCTCGTAGCGATGGCCTCCAACCAGCGATGGTCTCCAAGCTACTAGCAATTAGAGAAGATTTCCTCATGTGAAAGTGAACCTAATAGGGATGGCCTCCAACCTCTTAGCGATAGCCTCCAACCTAAGAGCGATGGCCTCCAAACTACTAGCAAGTAGTGAAGATTTCCTCATGTGAAAGGGAACCTAATAGCGATGGCCTCCAACCTCTTAGCGCTGGCCTCCGACCTAAGAGCAATGGCCTCCAAACTACTAGCAATTAGTGAAGATTTCCTCATGTGAAAGCGAACCTAATAGCGATGGCCTCCAACCTCTTAGCGATAGCCTCCAACCTGAGAGTGATGGCCTCCAACCTCTTTGCGATGGCCTCCAACCTAAGAGCGATGGCCTCCAACCCACTAGCAATTAATGAAGATTTCCCCATGTGAAGGCGAACCTAATAGCGATGGCTAATAGCGATGGCCTCCAACCTCTTAGCGATGGCTTCCGACCTATGCGTGATGGCCTCCAACCTACTAGCAATCGGTGAAGATTTCCTCATGTCCTGTGAGGCCATTGGATGGGCCGTCTCCTTGAGAGTGACAACGCTGACAGCTTGAGTCTGGTGGAGTTGCAGGCGTCCTTTGAGTGGTACTAATGGGAGCCATACTCGGAGCCGGTGGGACATTTGCCCTAGACCCAATATCTAATTACATCGAATGTCTCGTAGTGGCCCACCAAAGAGCCTGTGTTGCAACAGGGCCAAAGATGCACCCCTCAACAGGCAAGAAGCTCTCAGTCGCTCGGTGCCCAACTTCCAAATGGAAGGCCATTGATTTCACGCGATGAGGCCATTGCTATGGTGAAGAACGCCATGCGTGTGTGAACATATTGGAAATAGCTTGCTCTATGATCAGGGGTCGGTGCCATGACCAAGCAGCATCCGGAATCCATTCGTATTATTTATATAGGGACCTCCTCGCGATGGCATCTCAGAGGCGTCCATATTTGGTCTCCCGCAGTTCGACCAGGTGTATGTTGAGTGCACTAGGGCTCGACCGGTGCGTTCGTCCCAGGTCAATGAGTCTGACTGCCTGGTGCTTGCTGATCGCACATGCCTGGCTTGAAGTGTTTCGGCTCTCAGCTTGGTTAACTGCTACTGTAGGCCCTACAGCAGAGCTCCAACCATTTTTCAGCCTAACATGCAAGGTCCTGGTCACACTTGTGGACTCAAGCTTGCATTTTATTCAACCGTGGACCTGTGCTTAAAACGCCTTGCGGCCCAGCGCCAGCATGTCCACCATGAGGCCTCCAGACATTTTTGAAAGTGAACCGAATAGCGATGGCCTCCAACCTACTAGTGATGGCCTCCCAGCTAAGAGCGATGGCCTCCAACCTAGCAATTTTTTTGGGACCTGCAAGGGGATTCCGAGAGCTCTCCGAGACCGCTCACCAATGCCAGGCGACGAAGCAGTTGCTCTGGCGCTGCAGCACTTGCAAGGCTGCTGGGTCCTCAGATACATCGAGGGAAAGGCCGAAAAGATGAATTATGAGCCGATTCTGGAAGGGTCGCCAAAGTTAAAGGCAACCCGTTTGATGATTTGTTGTCTTTGCTTTTTCCGATTGCACTTGTATCGATTTGTTGCATTTGTTTTTGTATGTTTTTGTGACTTTTGATGCACTGTACTGTACTTGCTCCATTTTAATGCTGGCAACTGGTGCTGGAGATGCTAAAGATCCATGGTCTTGATCTGGACAAAGTTAGTCTCTCCCTCTCCCTCTCTCTGTCTATATTGTATGCACTGTATAAGGTCTGCAAAGGGATGCATCGGGTTTCTTTCAACATTTTGATGTCTTGGATCTTGCATGATGACACAGGCCTTTGCGCATGCGGCCGCACTATGACAAAGAGGCCGCATGTCCTGGCTGGAAAACACTTTCATTCGAGTTTGCGTCAAAGGATGTCAAAGGAATACTTCAGCCTGTAATGTTGTAAAGCACACCCGTGCCACTACACCAATTCAGACACCTAGGATTTGGTCATGCTTTGCTAAAGGCCCATACTTGTTCCTAGGTGTTGGGTGGCGGCGAGTCACCTGCAGGAGCACATCGCCGTTGTCGCAGTTTCCCTAAACATCGAACCAAATCAGTAGCGTGAGCTATCCTGCATCCTACCTAGAAGCTCACTTAGCCTAGTAGCTTGCTCCCTCAATTAAGCAGGCGCCTACTTGATTAAGTAGGGAGGCTAAAAAGTTTTAGAGAGATTCGAATTTGCTTTTTCGGTCTTTCAGAGGGTGAGGAGTGTGGCCGCCGGCTCTGTTGCGCTTGTGTCACCTCTTAGAATCCAGGCCGAGGCTCTGTCCGGATCCCTATCAATCAGTATGCCGTTGGACAGTTGGACACAGGAGAACACTTGCAACAGGAATGAGTCGGTTAAACATCAGACCTACTATAGTCTCTTGCATTTTGGCCTTGTCCTGACAAAGCTACTTTGCAACAGGTGCCACGTTCTGAAGCCTTTCAAGATGTCAACCAAACATGGGTGTCGTTGTGTCTTTGCGCGAGCACGGCCATTTCAATCAAACACTGAAGAACGCTTAATAAAATGGGCAATGCCTTCCCTTTTCCATCTCTTTTCTCATTATATATTTTTACATATGGTGCGAACTTTATGATTGGTGCTCCACAGGGAGCTGTTTGAACTGCGCCTCTCTGAGATATCAACGAAGAGCTCGCCGGCAAAGACCAGGGACATAAGCCTCTTGGCCAAATAGTTTTCCCGCATGGTTTCCAACCCCGAAGTGGGCCTTAGTTGTTTGTGTGTGATGTAGCTTTGACAGCAACACGGCCTTGGAGAGAGCATGGTTGAAGTTTCCAACAAGCTGCTCATCAAACTGAGACCACGCAGCAGAATCTGAAATGCTCTCCCGCTGCCTGGTCGATTCCCATGAAATTGGTGAAGCACCATAAGCTGAATCCTTTCTTCCAGGCTTTTTCACCGACGGGGTGCAGAGCGAGACTGTGGGAGGCTTTGCAAGGCGGGGCATGATGGATTGATTTGCCTACGTATCTGCCAGTGGAGAAGCAAACCTTATTTCCGGCCATAACGTTTCGTCTATTTTCTTCTGTTATGACTTGCTAGACTGCTAGACATCTCATCATGAGATGTGGCCAACGGCCTTGCCGGCTGGTTCAGGACGAGGCAGAACAGCTGCAGTACAATTGATTCAGCATCTCCAAAGCAGAACAGTGCGACGGCCAGCCCCCCAGTTTCAAAGGCCATCTCTGCAAGCGGGCAGGTCCAGGTGGCAGCCTCAAACTGCGAACCCATGAAAGAAACTTCATCAACTTTGGCGCATTCATCGTTCCAGGGGGCCATCGCTATTAGGTTATATATTAGAAACAAAGAAAAAAGCAAAGGAAGAGCGGTCTAATATATAGTTTGCTATTAGGTTGGAGACAACTTGGTGAATCTCAGGTGCTGGAACGACGTCCGTCTAGAGGCCTCCAAAGATGCGGAGAATGCAAGACATCTGAAGGCTTTTGCACTCCACGGTTGTTCTCAAGGCATAGTGCTTTTTGAACCTTGCTCCCAGTTGAATGCTTGAATGCAGAAGTTGTCGTTGCCCAAGTGCAACGGTGTATTCTTGCAAGGACAGCTGTTGAATCCTTCTGTGGCTTGTTCGTGTTGTGGCCAAACTGTTAGTACTCTCCACATCTCCCACCAGACATGATTTGCAAGTCCTACTGTATACTGTAGAACAGTTTTGAACCTGTGAAACAAGCAGGAGGTTTGCTTTTCTACGTTGGTCCAATTGGATTTATGTCTCCTGAAACAGGAAGTCTGCTAGACTCCAGCACCTCACCGACGCCCAAGTCAGCCTGGGCCACCAATGCTGGAGGGTGAGCTGTGGCCTGCGGGTTACAAGGGTTGGTTTGGTGCTTTGGTACAGCGGTGTTGTGTTGCTTTCGAGCATCTGCAAGCTGTTTTGAACAAGAAGTTACACCCCAGCTCAGGAATGCTTCCTGAAATGAAAGAAAGGCTGCATGACAGGGGCAATGGAGGAATACGAAGAGCGTTTCTGGCTCAAGCTCCATCGCTTGTAGCCAATAGCAATAGCACTTTCTAAACATGTTCTCCTTCGTATCGTTTGCTCTATATCAAGCTAAGCTGCGTTACGATGTCACACACGCCGAAGCCAACGGGTGGATGTGAACATATCCATTTCTGGTTGTTGAAAGAAGGCTACTAGGAAGCAGAAGCTACTAGGGGCTCCTGCCATCGCTACTAGGAGCAAGGATGCTACTAGGGGCTCCTGGCATCGCTACTAGGAGCAAGGACGCTACTA